AGGGAACCGATGAAGGTTCCCTTTTGAGATGGTTCGTCGAGTTAGACGATGCCATCAGGGCCCGTCACATCGAGGGTGACGAGATGCAAGTCACCTTCGCCCTATCAAATTTGACGAGACGAGCAAAGACTTGGACCTTAGGGCTCGAGCTTCACGAGCCAAACGTGTTTGAGTCGTTGGAGATCTTAAACCTCGGCTTAAAGAGACGTTTGATCCGCCGAGAGACGAGTTTAGAGCACGCTCTGCACTCTTGAGGCTAAAGCAAGGTAAGCGTGACGTGCACGCTTACGCACAGCACCTGCGCTACCTTGCGAGTAGCATTACAGAGAACCATGTTGTTGAGCACACGCTCATCAACGTGTTCATCTACGGCCTTGAAGATGGACCGGTGAAGACCTACATGTTCCGAGAGGACTTCCATACGCTGGAAAAGGCGATAGCGTATGCGGAACAAGAAGACTTCAGCCTGATACAGTCTCAGGCTAACTCGCCTAACTATCGTCCGACGAGACGACAGGAAACAGGAGGTCCCGAACCAATAGACCTCTGTTACATTGAGAGCAAGAACTCTCGCTCTCGGAGTCACAAGCGAACGGCAAGATGCCACCGCTGCCAGAAGATCGGACACAACGCTCATGAGTTTAGTGTCCCTAGCACTGCAACACGTCCAAAGACAGGACGTGATGACCACCGTTGGACACGGAAAGTTCCAAGGCGTAGGTCCGACCATGTCGCTAAGCCGCGACACCAAGTCGGACCATCAAAAAATGGTCAGGGTCAGTGGGGGCGGAGCACCCTGCTGATCCAGCAACGTCAAGAGAATTTGAAGGATTCTTGACGAAAATTGCTCCAAACACACAGTCGATGTGTGTTACTGCCCTTAGTGATGAGGAGTCCCTCATCACTTTGAAGATCGAAGTGACACGTGGAATGTCACTTCGCGCCCTAGTTGAATGTGGGGCGTCGAACAGTTTTATTCGACGACAGTCGTTAGGGGATAGTAGGCTCGACTATGTTGAGCGAGAGTTCCCTCCAACGAGGATGACGGTGTGCCTTGCTACAAGCGCATCCGTAACAGTGAACAAACGTGTAGTGGGAATCCACTGTACGCTAGAAGTAAAGCAGTACGATGATGGCTTCATAGTAATAGATTCGGATGACAAATTTGATGTCATCCTCGGTCTGCCATGGCTTTGAAAATATTAGCCATGGGTTAGCTGGCAGCATCGATCCGTGAAGATGCCTGCCGTTTGTTCATCAAATGGCCATCCGATGAACTTCTTGGAACGTCCACAAGCGTATGGATGTACTACTAGTGGGTGCGATGGCATCACTTGTGGTACGGTCGTTGGTACGATTGCACAAGATCACAGTGTAGATTGCCACTACACTGTGGCACCAGCTTCCGGCACCTGCGTAGAGACACAGGCTGCGCCGAAAGCTCACCACTCGAAGAGATAGAGTGGACTGGAACACGGATGCATACCAAGAAGGGTGCATCCGAGAAGAGAGATTAGTGTTGTTCAGGATAAACAACACGTTGGAGCAAGACCGACCAACAGGGAGTCGATCGTAGAGCAAGCCCGATCGACTAAAAGAGAGTCGATCGAAGAGGACGTGACCGTGGTAGTGCACCCACCGTCAGTACACGTATTGGAAGAAAAAACCAGCGTTCCTGAGAGCGTTAACTCCCGAGAGAGTTATGTTGAGGGTGTGGATCCCCAACCACCTGCGGGTGTGTTTTCACATGAAATCACCGAGTCAGTGAATGTCTTGGTGAATGACGGATCAAGTGTAGGCGCTTATACACTTTATCTGGTTACGCTCCCAAATTCAGCTTCGGAGGTAGTCAAGTTGCCAACGCTAGAATCTAAAAGATTCTTGCGGGATCTGCGTACTCGTCACAGAGGACGAGTACGTCGCCGATATTCAGTCGGCACAAGTGTTTGCTGATAAGGAACGGGTTCTCAGTAGATCATATATGGACGAGAGTGTCCTCGATGAGAAGACCCGGATTGAGCGATACACGTCTCAATCTTGGGAGTCTTTAAATACAAATCCTTTGCATGAGAATTGGTTGAATTCAGGGATGTTTTCCCTGAATCCGTGCCTTGCGAGCTTCCCAAGGACAAAGGCACTCGGCATGAGATCGAATTGAAACCTGGTTCGAAATACTGTGTCATTAAGCAGTGGCCACTTCCTAGTGAACAAGTACTTGCGATCGACAAATTCTTTGCCGATCGTTTTAGCGGCTGGTCATGTGAGGGAATCAACATCTCCACACAGCTCTCCGACCTTCTGTGTGCGAAAGGCCACAGGAGGGTGGCGGATAGTGCACACGTTCAACAAATTGAACGCTGCAACGGTACCGGCTCAAAAGCCGATCCCAAGGAAGGATGTCATCATAGATGGTATGGAAAAAAGTACCATCTTTTCGTCCATGGATCTGATGGATGGATTCTATCAGATCCTCATGCGTGAACGGGACATCCCGTACACAGCAGTGAGTATTCCCAGTGGTATGCTCTGGAAGTGGCTAGTAATTCCACAGGGGTTTAGTAACGCCTCTGAAACGTTCGATCGATGTGTTACGCACCTGTTGCGATCGGTGCGCGATTTCGCACCGAGTTAATTGGACGATGTCTTCGTCCATAGCCGGGCTATGGATGGAAAGACGGACGTGGAGGTTCATAGAATCCACATCCGGAAGGTATTTACTATAATGTGAGAGTATAAGTTGTTCGCGAACCTCAAGAAGTGTATATTCGCAGCGAACGAAATACCACTTCTTTGCTGCATCTTGGGTAAAAACGGTGTACGCCCTGATCCGGAAAAGATCAAGGCGATTAGCGACTAGCCTGTGCCAGTCGACGTCAAGGGACTTCGAAAGTTCCTCGGTTTGGCGGCGTACTTGCACAAGTACTCGCACAACTGCGCCGAGATGACCGTACATCTCCATCGTCTGCTAAAGCAAAACAAGAGGTGGTCATGGAGTGCTGAGTGTCAGTACTCTTTTGTGGGCATCAAGAAAAGCTTGGTGCAATTGCCTGTGTTGGCGATTGCAGACCAGGATAAACCATTTCATGTGGTCTGTGACGCCAGCGATTTTGCAATCGGCTGCGCGTTAATGCAGTACGACTCAGACGGCGTTGAGCGCGTCGTCTGTTATCAATCGCGTCAGGTGCTAGCAGCTGAGCAAAATTATCCGGTGCATGACAAGGAACTCCTGCCATGAAATATGCACTGGCCAAGTTTCGGGTATATCTATCAGGAGATAGGCTCTTCATTGTTTATACCGACCATGCGTCATTACGCATGGCCGTAAATATCCCACAACTCTCGCAAAGAATGGCGAAGTGGCTGTCTTTCTTCGCGGAGTAAAACATCTCCGTCGAGTGCAACCCAGGACGACTTAATGTCGCTGCTGATGCTCTTTCGCGTCAGCCCGATTTCGCGCCTACTGCTCAACACAACAGTAGAAGTGATCTCACTGTAGCAACACTAACAGTGAGTGTTCTGACGTCGAATCTGCTCGACGACGTGCGGAAAGCATACGCAGAAGATGAGTGTCTTCTGCGATTTATGGATTATGTATCCAATCCATGCGTTCAAGCTTTGAAAAACTTGTCGTCTTAATACCGCTCTCCAACTGAACGGTATTCGATTTGTGATGGACTGCTGCAGTATCCAGCAGTCAACGGCGACACACCTCGTGTCGTCGTTCCCGCTCATAATGATTTGCGATTGCGCATCATTTACGAGTGTCACGATGCCCCGACAAGTGGGCATCGCGATAGAGAAAAGACTTACCTCACGGCAAGTCTTTAATTCTACTGGCATCGCCAGTATGAGTTTGTGCGTAAATACATTCGCGCTTGCGAAGTTTGTCAACGGGTGAAGCCTAGTCCTTTATCCCGTGCACCCTTGCAGCCTCTACCGATTCCGGCAGAGTGCTGGCAGTCCGTATTGATGTATTTCGTCTTCGGGTTTCCCAAAGAAGCTCACAAGAATACTGGTACTCTTCTAATTGTTGATCGGTTCAGCAAGATGGTACATCTTGTTGCTGTATCGGAGTCAACCACAGCCCAGGGCTGTGCTCGTGTCTTCATCGATACTATCTCCGACTTCACGGGTTTCCCCGTGAACTCGTGTCCGATAGAAACCCCCGCTTCACAGCGGAGTTCTGGCAATCCGTGTTCCGTTCAGTTGAAAAACGATTGACGATGTCAACTTCTGACCATCCCGAAACAGATGGTCAAACGGAACGCGTCAACCGCGTTCTCGAAGAGATACTTTGAGGTTATGTCCACTCGTTTACGAGCTGGAGTGAGTTCTTGCCGATGGCGGAATTCGCCATCAACAACTCGGTGCACGCGTCTACTTCGCATACACCATTCTTCGTGAATGGCCTACGCCATCCACGTTTACCCGCCTTCTTCGAGTGTGACTCTAGTTTTAGGGGGAATGGACTCGCTCGAACAAAAACGGATCTGGTTCTTGCTCATCACCCGTCGACAAAGGTGTCGTCGTGATGGATGCCGATGTCGATGCGATCGATATTGATGATGATGATGAGGCGACGATGCTGAAATTTTCAGCATTGCCAATGACTGCCAAAGTGAGGACGATGACGACCTCACTGGTGAAGATAACGTTCTTTCAGCAGTGCACACGAAGCGCACTGCTGTTGACAAGGATGAATCAGCAGAAGAATTTCTGCTGAATCGCGAAGCGGTTGTCCGCTTCGTACAACACTCTATTGCAGATGCACTATACAGACAGAAGAGAGAATCGCAAGCAAAAATAGAGAGCAATTGTTCTGTCATTTGATGAAGGAGACTTAGTTTTAATGTCTACAGTAAACTTACCGAAACACGCAGTGACAAACGTGGGCAGCAGTGAATTAATGCCCAGGTACATCGGTCCATTTCGTGTGTTGCACCGAATGTGCGATGCATACACAATTGAACTGCCCCGTAAGATGCGTACGCATCCTACGTTTAACGTCGGTCGTCTCCGCCCGTACTATCATTACGAGCCCGTTTCGAGATGCGAAGATTACCTCCGCGGTCGAGAGCCGAGACCACCTTTGAGTGGTCCCGTTTCAACGAGCCAGTCTGGTCGACTAGCGAAGCGACCTGTTCACGCATTTCAGCGATGTCTCGACGAGCTACAGCCAGCTCTTCACGAAGAGAACGAGTCGAACGTTCGTTCTCAAGTTGCGCGAACGTAAAAGCGGCACGATCGTCCGAATGATCGCGCGTTAGGTAATTGTAATCATCCCTTACAAGATCCTCAAGCCCATGACGCTGATTCTGTTCGTGAGCCAGGTCATCTTGCAACTGTTCCGTTATACGGTTCTGCTCTTGAACATCAAGCTGATCCGACCCTCGATCCAGATCAGGTGTTCCCGCCGCCACCACATCCTTTCGTGGACTCAAGCGTTGGTCAACGCTTCATAGTGGAGCGTATTTTGAACCACCGCGATTTGAATGGCGTTCGGACGAGTTACCTCGTCCGCTGGCGTGGCTATCCACCGGCGTGGGACAGCTGGGAACCTCGTGCCCAGATGATTGTTGATGTCCTTGGTCTCGTCCAGCAGTACGACAAGACCCACCCACTGCATTTGAAGAAGGGCCGTCGGAAAATGACCTCCCCAAACGCGAGTACAGGGATCGCAAGGTGTCAATCCTTTCGGCCGTCTCGGGAGAGATGCGCGCCCTCCAGTAGGGATCATTAGGGAAAAAGGCCTCCCTAGGGGCACGATTCGAGTTGTCCAGACAACCTGGACACGAATCACCCCACGAGAGACAGGGTAGCCCTGCCTCTATTGAAAGCCGGTGCAACTTGTATCGCACTCCGGCTGGGTTACGTATCCAATTTGATGCGATCTGCATCAAGTTTACCGACCCAGGCCTCACGGCCAAAGCACTCGATGTTGTGGATGAGGTCATTCCATCCTTGCACCAAGGCTTTGCCGTCTCGAACACGGCTACCATTGTACCACCGATGTTTTAAGAACGCATCGGTGAAGAACTCTTCCTCAGCACGTATAGTTTCCGTGCTGGAATTAGGTGGGCAAATATTCCTACATTCGAACAACGGGATGCGATACCGTTCGGTGATCATAATAGCCCATCGATCGAGCCCTTCGGATGACAGCATCCGAGGTGACTTCACTTGAGGAGCGTGGCGCAGGAAATTGCGGTCCCTGGCCTCTTGATTGGTGCCAGCATGAGCACTGGCACCAGTGTTACCCCGATCCCTCGAGTTACTTCGCTCGTGGTGATGTATAGGTGCATCACCACCATCCCCACGCGTCCTATCGTTGAATGGACTTGCGTGAGGCGGAGATTCGTCGGAACAATCACTCGATCCGAATATCTCGGTCATGATACCGCCGCGTTGACCAGAGCCAGTAAACCTGGCTCTTGCAGTGTCCGCCCCGGGTGATTCGGAGGCGTGAGGAGTCGCCTTCGAGTCGGATGCATCATCCGACTTGCCAGAATAGATGAGCTCTATTCAGACTCATATGGATTACGATTCGCGGTACCCGATGCAGACGCAGCGGCTGTACCTGTCGCACGTGTTGACTCACCACGTGAACTATTCACAACAGGCACCGCCTGTTGCTAAATCACAACAGCAGGCAAAGGTCACCTGCCGCTGAAGTAACAGAAGTAATCTCTTCGGCTGAACGCATGCGTGCAACCGCTTTGGCTGCTTTGGCAGCACACCCCGTGGACTTTGACACCATGCGACGAACTGGCAAGTGAGTTGAAATTCAACCAACAAGTGCTCCCCTTCCCAGAGTGATCCACCGGTGGTCCCCCTGTCCCAGTCACTTAAAATTCAATCAACGGGGTTATTGGTGGTTAAGGGGGGGTGATGTAACGGGGTAGCCCGTTAATGTTTTGACAACAAACGGTGTCAATAGGGAGATTGTCTAGCGTAGCAATTCCCCGCCATTATTATCCGAGACGGGAAATGCTAAAGGAAGATTGTTCCCTTGTAGGACAATATTCATTTGCTGCTCGAAGATTGGTTGGCAAAGACATATCAGCCAAGATTACCACCAATCGCTGCTAGATGCGTGCAATGAGTGGTGAGCATGTTGTCGTCATACGACAATGTAGGTTGGTGTAGTTAGATAAAGATTAGAGTTATATTGTTAGCTTAACTATATTGAATAGAGCTCTCTTTTTTACCTTTTCTTGAACGAGTCGTTCAAGTAGATTAGCTCCCTCTGCACGCACTAGTGTAAGTGAAGTTTCGTGGCAACCAGACAAAGGGTGCCCCGTTACATTCCTCGGGAATGTGAATTATCAAGCGCCGGTGTTACCAGTCAGGCAGCGTATTCGGATATATCGTTTGCTTCCGGAGGACTGGGGGGGGCGGGTGACGCGGTCTGGAAGCGTCGTTGGTATGTTATGAGCAGCGTTTGTCTGACTTACTTATGAAGTGAGCGGAACGACACGGTTTTTCGAGGATTCAGTCGACGGCTCTTCACAGCGCCGCGCGTTTTTGGGCGCTTGAAATTCGACATTTTACAGCGTTAGCGAAACGCGAACACCGCGGTCCCGACACAGCTGTTGCCGGGGCTGTCATGCATATCTGTATCGACTTTTCTACTCTCGAACCTCGAGACAGGTCGATATTTTCAGAAGACAGCCACGACATGCTACCAGTTCCAGAGAGTTGGAAAGGTTGGCAGGCATGACTACCGAACGGGATCGAGTCCCGTTGTTCGATTGCAGGAATATTTGCCCACCTAATTCAAGCACGGAATCTATCCGTGCTGAGGAAGAATTCTTCACCGATGCGTTTGAGCTTTTGTCCTAGCTTAAAAGTTTTTAGACGTCTTGTGCATAATTATGTATTAATAGACGGTCACGAATTCTCTTCTCTAAGAATTAATGTGTCGTTGTCACCTCTATAGTGGTAATCCCGGGAGTGTGATTTGAGGGAATCAGTAGAGAGGTATGGTTGCGCGACATTTGTCGTACAAACCCTATCATAGTTTGGTATGGGATTGGTATATGGGGTGTATCTAATTATTTACGTGGGGATCATGACGAGTACTTCAGGGTCGCCGGTAAAGTCGTCTACAAAGGAAAGATCTGTAGTGGTCAATTGTGTGCTACAGAAGTGTTGCTTGGTAAAACACTTAGCATTTGTACGGTAGATGCACAATGTTGTGCGACAGTGGGTGTACAGAGATATGGTGGTGCGATGTTTGTCGCACAAACCATTTTGTGGTTTGGTATGGGTGTGGCGTATGGGGTATATTTTGTAAAAAGTGGGGTGCATTTAACAACACCCGATACAAATGGCACCGATCAGCGTAAAAGCAGATGGATATCAATCGGACGAGCAGACTTATGTGGTCAGATTGGCATTCGTTTGATGTTTGGATGCTGTAGCATCTCATACTTTTCCCTCCGCTTTGTTCAGAGCCGTCTACACGCCAGATATCCTATGGAGCAAACTACCACCGATAGATAATGAGCATGTGTAACGGGGCACCCTGAAGCTTGTACTGATGACAGTACAAGCTACCTTTTTTGATGACAGAATGAGGCGGTGCCGCGTAACCTCACGTACGCTGGTACGTGCAGAGGAAGACGGTAAGGAGAAGCGAGTACTTGGTTAAAGTAAAAAGTAGAACTATATTTATCATAGTTAATGTCTGTTAATAAACCACTGTTTGTCCTCATCTAACTATGTCTAAATACAAATGTGCATATCAACTATCTGCTCACCACTCATTGCGTGCGTCTGTCGTGGCGCGTCTTCGTTGGTTGATATAATGGCCTTTATCAACCAATTAGGAACCACTCGTAAGTGCTGCAGAATATTGTCCTTATGACAATATTCTGAGAATATAACTCTTATAGTTATGTTCTATTAACAATTTCTTGTAAATTGTTATGTAACGGTTCACCCCGTTACAACATGTGCATTTGCTGTAACAGAGATCGAATGGTCAATGTGGCACCGAAGAGCTGCACATGTCTGCTTCTCTCACGTAGTATCTTGCACTTGAATCGATAGCTGTGATGAAACTGGCGTTGTGTCACCCGCCACTCTTTCGGCATCCTACGAGCGGACGTGGATCCACGTGAATTGAAGTATCGGGACGTATCGTAACCTTGGTCTTTCCATAGCATCCCCAATTGGCTTCGACGAGCAACTAGTGGAATCCATTGGCATCTTTGGGGCGAGATGCTAACGATAACGAGCTTGTTTGCGGCCAGTGCACCTACTCTCGGAACAACATCCGACACGGGTTGGGTGTTCATGCCCATCCTTAACTTCATCGGTTTCATTGGAATGGGCTGGAGCCAGATGACAACGCCAGGGTTTGGGGGGGGCAATCACGAGCAAGCACTCGCAGACCATACAAATGCCTGATGCATCAAGCTTGACACTCTTGGCTTACGCGCTGTGACGTGCAGGTGGGCCCTGATCGATGACAATTTACAGCAGCGTATCAACGTCTTTCCCAAGGCTGAAAGCACGCCAACGGGCTCACTCAGTATCAAGTCCGGACATACTATCGCGTAACGACCAAGCAGCTGAAACTGGATTATACCGACCGCTCGGTCGACAAAAGCTACAGAAAACTACTCGTCTGCAAGGAGTGCAAAGAGAGCATAGCAAGCAATATCTGGAAATGCATCAACATACAAACGTAAGAACGAATGCTCCAACGACTACTAATGCGCTTGGCAAACCGTTTTCAGACGACATGAATGCTACAAGGACCAATTTCAAGCGCATAAGGGTTCATATTAAGCTTGATATATCAAGTGCATCTGTGAAAAAGATCCGAGCAAGTGCGGCGGAGCCCCAAAGAGAGCCAAGTTCTACAGCTTCCACCATCACTAAAATACTGCGGCGTCGCTCTTCGTCAGCCGATTGCCACCCCATACGCGAACACAGAACTCCAACGACGGCAGTACGTGGCGTTTGGCTTCACATCCGTCACGACTTATTCATTCAAGATCATAGGGCCATCTCGGCTCGGCTTACACGGGCGCCAGGCACGGTGAGCTGCTTCAACCGGTGGCTCAGGCAGGACCTGTAAGACGTTTGTTTGCCCACAACTCCTGGTAGATACACGGTCATGAATCTCCTCCTGACATCGATACCGTGCACTGGCGATGTGTTGATCGTAGAAAGTCCGTAAACGGTGTAGGGATCATGAAGTTGGGGGCATGAAGGATGTGCGCTACTTCAAGTCACTCATTGGCTTGTATCTGAAGCCAAAGTCCGGGATCCACTCCTTCTCTTTCCAGCACCTACATTGCCCTCTACAGGGTATCAACTGTCGGCAGCAGCTTCGAACAAGTTGAATGGGATAGTACGGGCGGAAACCGGACGAATGGCAGTCCGACCACATCCGTCTGTCTGCTTGTCCGATTGATGTTCGTCTGCTTCCCGCTGGACCGTGTCGTTCTCTAGCTGCAGCTGCAAGTATCTATTCCCGCCGCAAAAGTCTACTCACCATCTCTGCGGCTTTCGCTACAGGCTGAAATTGACGCTGAACATTGGCACGAAAGAAACTGCTGCCCAGCCGGGCTTACTAGTAGTGCGAAGCGGCACAGATACAGCTGCATGGAACCACAATTGCATCATGGACTCATCCGACGTGCGCCAAAACAATAATCGCACTCCTTAGTCAACGGATTCGGATATTTGGCTCACGTCGCCCCGTTGCATAAGCCGCTCCAGATCCCCAGTGACGGAACCTCAACATCCATGTCGCGTTGAATCTTCAGACCGCCAACAGTTGCGGCTGGATCTTCAATCCTTGATTCAAATAGCACAGTTTCTAGTTTTCAAGTTGAATGTAGGGTGATGTCGTCGGCAGTTGTCCAATCCATCGTCCATATCGACGTTTGCAGTCTGCGTAGAAAACTGGATACGAGTGCATCAGAAGATGCATATCATTGCATTCACCCCTACATGGAGTTTCAGTGATGTCGTTTAGGTGTGTGCGGGTCGAGCTTCTCACTTTCCATTTTGCCACCACCAGTCCCCATTCCGCAAGACTTCCATACGATTCGACGATCGACGAAGACACCCTGATGCGCATCCACGTTCGTGTCCTGTTTGCTGTTGCGGCTCTATTCGTGGACATCCACACTACCGAAGCATTGGTGCGGACGGAGACTATGGATGACGACACCCAGCTATCTGGACACATTCATTCAACCGGGGATAACGATGTCACCCGCCATCGCTTTTTGCGGGTGAGCGACGTGCATGCTGAGGACGAGCAGGAGAGGGCTAACACCAAAGCGGTATCGGCGTGGATACGAAAGGTTGTCAGCAAGCTAAAGACTTCCGTGGTGATTAATTGGAATCTGATACTGGGCAGCGACCCCGAATACGTGAGAGGCAAATATCCTGGCAACAAAGAGCTTGGTGATAAGTACTCTAAGAAACGGGCGCATGTTAAATACACACTTAGTTAGCCACTCACTCTCTTTTGTAGTACATCACGCTTTCAGCCGAAAATCCTTTCCGCATCAAACATGTTCGTTCATCAGTCGCACTCTGTAGGGTACAACGATGCACAGATTTGAAAGCCGTCACATGTAAATGCCGTTATATCATCGTCACGGTTTGTTCGACAGCACGGGACGATTAGCACTGTACCTTCTAAGAATTGATACCACTGACGGTAAAGAGACCTTTCGTATGTACGAATGCTGCGTCCAGATGACAACACATCAAACTCAGTTTGACCACCCTCAATTGACAGCAAACGCTTGCCTTTTTATCGCCCGTCGATGCATTTACACACAAAAGACCCCTATACATCGTGCTAATACGTGGTGGTGACCGACGAATGCTCCGATGTAAGATGTAGTACCTTGTAGATTACAAGATTCGCGCCCCATGATATCAATCCTGTTCCGATTATTGAGCTCCCATTATTGATGTTCGAAGCAGAACGACTACTCAGCACCCTGTGGAAATTGACAGACTACAAGGTACCAGGTATCAGTCCTCTTTCTCCCCATACGACGACCTGATCGCGTAACCTCTCGATTTGTTACCGGCCCGCCGTTGTTCATGGTCGCATGTTCATATTTCAATTGAAGCACTTCTTGGAAAGGCGTCTTCGAGAAGTCGACTTTCTGTGCTGGATATGGGCCAATACTCTAATCAGGACAAAATAGCTCGACCTTCCTTGGCTTGGCCCTGCATTGCAATCGGTTGCACGGTGAAAAAGTTGGTGAAGCAGCGAAGTCAGCTTACTTCTTAGGCCCGGTCAAAGTCAAACTTCGTGTGACTTGAGCAGTACAAGTGACACGTTCGTAAAATGTATGGAATATCTTACATAGCTACCCCCCTTTGGATTCACCATCGTGACCCATTCACGCAAAATGTGGCCCGTTTTAAAAAGCGGCCTTCTGATTGGTCACGAAATCTCACAATGGGAATTAAAATCGAATGAGTGTAAATAATATACACTCATACTTCACAAAAAGATACCAAAAAGAGTGGGGAATAGAAAGTGTACCAAATACCTCAAATTCATCCCCACCAACAAATTCAATGATACGAAAATATACAAAGAGACGAACTGTACGCACAAGTAATACTCTCTACGTGTAACACTAACGATGCGATATAACTGCACAATAAAGAATCATCCGCGCAGTGTTAAATGTTAATCTAAATTGTTACGACGATGTTGCATGCATACCATGGACAAAATCCATGTTTCTGCGTCTTGCCCACGTGTACAATCGTACGTGTACGTACATATATAGGATCCGTGCCTTGTACACTATGTTCTGTTTCAACCTTGCGGTGTATTTGTTCGCATCTAGACTTGTTGGGAAGTCTTTTTGGGTTCTAATCTGGCAGTTTTTTTATTGTGTATTGTTGCGATTCTTGGTTCAGTTATTTTCGAAAAACATTCATCTGGCCTTTTTTAGCAACCCTGAAATGCATCTCAAAACCTCGAGCGCAGCAATGGTATTTGCATGTCGGGTAATAAAAGTCGAATCCCACATGTAGATTCTTGGCAATAAGCGCGCGCTTTGGATGCCACAGCCATCTTTTAGTGATCTCGATGGTGCAGTGGTAAGGCTCTGATGGATTTTGTAAGGGGGCATGATATTGTGTCATGTAGCGATGCACTACGTACGTCGTGGGGGGAGACAGTTGGTAGTATATAAAGCAGCAGGGATTCCGCCTTTAGTATGGGTGAATGGCTATCATCAAGATGTTTAGCACCCAATCCTTTTGGTTTGATCGAATTGCTTGACGACGGCTCGACACGCATGTGCTGATGTCAAGGTATTGCCGTCGAGGCAAGAGATGCAGAAAAATCCTGAACGAAAGGTGTACAAAACGACTGAAAGCAAAGCGAAGTTACCTGCTCGACTGAAGTGTAAGCATGATTTCTCTGTTGTGTCTTCCTCTGGTTCTTCAGCATCGACATGGTAAACAGCTTGCGATAAGGAACCGAAGCACGTACGAAGTTAGCAGACCAGGATGACGTGTAAAACACATGCTGGGAGCGTGCACATTTTCGAGCGTGCACGTTTTCGATACAAATGACCTAGAGTGAGCTGAATCCCTTTGGTGGCGTGGTGCTCTTCTGTTGCATTGAAGCTGGGATTGAAAAGTACTCCTTGTTGCGGCTAGATACGACATGCTCGCGAGCTCCATAACATTTGACAAGGGGTTCAATCGGGAACAGCCCGAATAAAGCACTAGCTCCATATTCCCTATTACTACACATTCATGTGCGCTGCATCAACACAGGACTGTTGCTGTGCATGGTCACCAAATGCTGCTTTCGACTGTGTTCAGAAAGAGCTTGTGAGCTGGGGTAGTGGCACGGGCCTATTCGCTGTAATTCATACAAGACATAGGGGCATTGAAATGAAGCTCGAAGGGCTGTCAGCGTACTTAGGGAAATGGTGATTTGAAATCGTATAATGGGTTTCGTACAAACTCTTAGTCGTTTTTGTGATTGATCGGGAGGATCAGCTTTCAGGACTGGATAAACGAATGTACCTAAAAAAGTCTGGTAAGTGGGGACTGAATAGCGGCCACCAGACAGTAGAAGAAGTGCGGTGTATATATAGAAGCGACGAGGCATTTGCGTTCTGTCTACATATTAAAGGGGAAATGCTACCTAGCGAAAAGTGAGTGCGGTGCAGCGTTCTCGTGTATAGTAGTGTAGGCCAGGCTAGTTCAAAAGATCCTTCTTTAACCTAGAACATACGTTACCAGTAACCTTCGTACTGAAGTCGAGCTACACGTTTACGAATAAATTTGCTAAACATGTAGTAATTACAGAAATTTTAAGGTCCTAATTGTTTTCAAATGTATGTTGTTCCCATTTTTTATACGAGAATTTTTTTAAATATTGCCAATTGATGTGGAGCAGTGTTGAATTTCCGGTAAATGCAGAAGGAATGCATTGACGAGAGAGTTCGTTCTGATAACTAATATTTAACTGCCAAGTCATTTACGCTTTACTTCCTTAGAACTAAGCTTTACCCCCCTCTACGTGCTCTCAAAAGTTAGTACACACGAACAAGAGTCTGAAATGAACGATAATGGCTACAAGACAGTTGTATAAATCCAAAGCTAAACGGTACTGTAAACCACTTGATCGGCTGCGCTTCATTAAGACATTTCAATGGCCCTCTTAGGTTGTATTACAAGCTGGAATGATTGAGCATTCGTTTGAGTTTTAACGCAATCGGTAGGTTAACTAATGATCGAAAAGCTCATCCATATAGCTGATGCAGATAATGCACAGAATTTTGCCCAGAACATCGTCTTTATCAGAAAGCAAACACTCTCAAATTGGGGATATGTCATCTATCGTAAATACCAACACTCTTATCTTATTACAGCATAAATGTGTTTCTCAGCATCCTAGTTTGGGACATATTCTACTTGTAACGGGGTGAACATGTTACATGTAATGCACCCTTTTTTACTCTTAAATTAAATTTTTTTCATAAAGATCTACATTGCTCGTGAAAATTAGCATAAGGGAAATATTCAGAAACACTAATTGATGGGCTGATATGGGCTTTGAAATCAGCTAGCTTTAGCGGTCCAATCAACGATAGACGCGCGCAAGGAGTAATGAGTAAGACTTTAGCATACCTTGTTGTAGATATCATGATTAAGTTGGACTACAGCTATCTGGGTACATGTAATTAGGACTTACCCATATCACGTAGTTTTACTTTTACCAGCAACTAGTCATATTTTAGTTGCTTACCCTTCCTCTGCATATTTTACGGAGGAACCGAGTCACCGCTCACGCTGCTGTTAGTAATAGTAGCTCCACAATGGTTGTCAGTGTGTTGTTCCGGTGCCCCGTTACAACTAGTAGTACTTTGTAGTCTGGAAAAGGACCACAAAGCCCGTGCAACATGAACAGGTTAAACAATGAAGGCGACGACACCTTTCACGTCACCTGTGAAAGCTACTCCTGCTTGAGTGATGTCGAATAGACTGCGATCGAACGAATGATCGAATTGTTGACGAAGAAGCTGTCTGGTCTCCGCTCTTCTCAATGGAATGGAACCAGCAGCATTCCATAATCGCCAAGTTCGTGCAACGTGAACTTGACACGGATCAATCTGAAGTGACCCAACTGTAGCAGCAAGGTTACCAGCAGAATGAGCCCCTGAGACAGCAAAAGTCTCAATCTGCTTCTGCAGCGTCGACGCAAGACTCAAAAGTTAGGAGTTATCAAGTACCGGGCAGTCGAGGATTAATCCCTGTTGAGATAGTTTTTTGAAATGGACGTATACATTGAGGCTCATCATATCGACGATGAGAAAAGGCAAGTTGCATTTACCAAATCAATTTTGTAGACGTACTAGAACCTGGCCACTGAATCTTTAATACCACGATCCAAACTTGTTTGAATCGTTGGCGGTCTTCAAGACGCTGCTCAGTCAAATTTTTAAGCCGCCAAGAGCTGTGTTAAGGACTCTTTCAGAGCTCCTGAAAATAAAATAAGGTAGGCGTGACGGTCACGCCTACGCTTAGCGCGTTCGTGACCTTGCAAGCTGCATAGTGGTGAGCCCTAAAAGTGAATTCGTGTTGATCACCATATTCTTACAGAGACTTACGGATGATCCCGAGAGTAAACAACTGCTCTGCATCGAGTCGAAGTCTGTTAAAGTCGCTTTGTTACAACTGCGGTGCAAGAAGAAGATTTAGCGTGAGACAGGCTCACACTATTTTGAACCCCTATCGTCCTTTGTAAAGAGTAGAGGCGGGAGTTTTGGAACCAATGAATCACTGCGCTGTTGAGAGTGAGAGACCTTGCTCTTCAAACAGTAATCAATTGCAAAAGTGCAATCGCTGTCAAAAGATGGGACACCACGCCTACTAATGTAGCGCTTCACACCCAGTGTCTCGTTACACTGAGCGAAGTGATCGACTTCTGTCAAGAAGGACAACGGACGCGGGT